CCTCAGTGGCCGGGATGAGACCTCTCAGGCTCTTGCCTACAGAGGTTGGCCTGTCCCCTACAGACGGCTTCACAGAAGATGGGGCAGCGGTAGGGGCAGGAGCCGGCACCCTTAGTGCCTTTACAGCTGGCTGGGTTATCTCCCCAGCCGTCCTCTTCAGCATCTTGGACAGGGAGCGTGGAACCTTTTGGTTCCCGGCCTCAAATAAGGAAAGTCAACCGGTTAAACACAAACTCACACCAAAGTAGTACAGCCGGCAATAAAAAAAAGGAATACTACTTACCCCACCGTCCTTCGCCGCCAGCTGCGACTTCTTTTTCTCTATATGCTCCTTCCTGATTTGAGCAGCTGATGTAGCCAGTGTCTTCTAAGCAGGCAGCATCTCTAAAGCTTTTTCTACAAAAGGAAAGAAAAGAGCAAGTAAAGACCCGAACAAGGCAAGCAAACAACAAAATATACCGGATGAAAAGATAACCTACGTCTGGTAAACGTAGTACTAAGACGACAGGCGGAGAGGAACGCCTCGTCTTTGAAACAATCCAGGTGAGGTACCCAAAACTTGGGAACTATAACAACACTCCCATCATCAAGAGGGAGGGTCGTCTTCTTAAAGAGACTCGTCTCCATTATTTAGTCCCAGGCCTCATCCGACACCTTTGGAAGAGCGCACTTCTTCCCAAGAAGAGCCGGGTTCTTATTGTAGGTGCGCAACCGGCGGTTTAATTGGGGAGTCAGTGAAGAGACTGCGTAGAACTTTCTCTTCCAACTACTCCACTTAGACGGCTTGTCCAAGGTCATCATATATTCCGGATGCGTGGTCAAAGTATACCACGCATTCTAGCCGTCTGGTGCCCGACTGAGATAGTGCATATGTGCAAATGCCTCCCAGCTAGGCTTTATATCCTGCATCTCACAGGCGGCTATGTATCCTAGTATGTTGACCCAAGAGTTGGGAGTCAGCTGCCAGACGCCTAAGTTATACCCCCTTAAAATGGCTTTGATATAACTATGGAGGGGGAACCGGAGGCCGGCTTTGAATGCCGCCTCTTAACAGCCGAAATAGTCATCGCCATGTTCCAAGTCATTATCCTAGACAACAGTGGCCTCTACAGGCGGCACCCTAATCTCCCAACCTACCCCAACCGGTTTCTTTTCCAAGAACGCAGGAAAAGTGGCATTTAAGGTGACCACATCCCTGGCGGTCATACTTGCTTCAATGGCGTTGCCAGCAGCCGGCCACTTATAGGCGTCCTCCTCAATTGGGACGGCTAATTCGGATGAAGACTCATCAGAGCCGGACTCTTCACCGGACTCCTCACGGTCTAAGTCAGACTCATCAAGAATACCGTCACTGGGTGTACTAGGCACACCCGGTGTGTCACATGGTACATTCCCAGCCGGTTCGTCGGCCTGGTTATTATTGACAAAGGCAGTTGGATCCACGGCTGCATCATCGGACTGGTTGTCAGGGTCAATTGTCGTCAATCTGATCCGAGCCATTTTGTCCTGCACATGAACATAGGCGGTTGGATTCGTAGTAGAGTAAGGGTGGTCCAAACACCCCCAGACGGCATCCATAGTCCTAGAATCAGCCGTCCCAGGTGACCGGCTAACCACTGTCTTAGGTTGTGCCGTGTGTGTTATGGGAGAGCCCATTTATTCTATACAAACTACACAACCAGAAAAACGCAAAATAGTTGCAATGGGTAGAGACGGTACCTTTTTTAAATTGTAAAAAACTGAGATGAAGGATAGTTGCAACAGCAGCCGAAACTTCTCCAATCTGCTTGTAGATATCTTAGGCGGAACTCCGGATGTACCTTTGTTGAAAGCTGCTACGCTTCTTTGAGGACCCAGGCATTTTTCTGAAAATGGGATTGAAAGTACCCCAGGCGGTTTTGACCAACTAAGGGTCGGTTGGAAGCTTTGAAGAGAAAGCAAAGATACCTTAGGCGGTGAAAGAAAAGGTTGCTAAGTAACAACACAGACAGTAGAAGCCGGCTGTGGGTATAGCAAATGCAAATTGCAAAGGTTCAAAGAAGGGTCAGGCGGTTTTTAAGGATTTGGTTTGAAGAGCACATAGACAGTAGCCGGATGTATGAGAGGGAAGATTTTTGTGAACAAAAGCAGCCGGTATCAAAGCTCTCAAGAAATTTTTTTGCAAATATGTAAAAGTGAGGAAGAGAGAGGGGGTTGCCTCTATTTATAAAGAAACCCAGAAGGTGAACCGTCACCTTCTGCCTCAACATTCAAATTCAAATTTGAAAAAAAAAACAAGAGAGAAGAGAAGAGAAGAGAGAAAGGCGGGAAGTAGACCAACCGTCACTCCCCCAGAGCTTGACACCTGTCACAGGTGACACGTGGCTAAGCCACGTCACACCTGTGAGGGGCAAATATTTAGGGTAAAAACTACCCTAGACACGTGGCCCAATGGCCCTTTGACACATGTTAGCCTCTTAGAGGCCTACAGGGCTCCAATCCCCTAGTGACACGTGTCCATGGAACCCTAGATAAGGGATAGGTTCTCCCCACTATAAATAGTGGACCAAACCTCATTTATTGGGCATTCATAAATTCACCCATAAATACAAAACACACAAACCGAACAATATTCATTGCAGAATTCTCTCTAAATCAGAGAGAAGTATTAACCATTTCCATACAATTTACTACTCCGGACGTATACTAACTTGATCGTCGGAGGCAGAGCTCCCACCAACCGGAGTCTTCGTTGTTTTGCAGGTACAGACGTCGGCTGCTCATACTAGGGATTGTAACTCTCCCGAGGGACTCCAATATATATATATATATATATATATATATATATATTAGACTCATCAATATGCGAGTTCTACGGTCAATTAGCCATATTGGTATAAAAGTAAGCACCCTTGTGACATATTGGTATAAAAGTTACCGCTCGCGACAGATTGGTATAAAAGTTAGCAAGTTGTGACATATTGGTAGACATATTAGCCGGATTTTTTCCGTCGTTGATTGACTGTTTTATAGGAACTAGTTAACATGTGATAACTTATCATATCACTAATAAATAAAGCCGGTCTCGTAGCCAGGTCATGAGACAACGACACTTGGCATTCCAGTTTTTCACCAAGTGTCGAGCCACGTAAGCGATAAATAAATATTATTGTGATTATATTAGATGTTCCGTTAGATTAGATTAGATAAATTTTTTTAGGATAAAAAAGTACGTACACATAAAATAATTTATAATTCTTTTGAAAAAAAATTATCTTTTTATTGACAATAAAATTTTACTTATAGCAACACACCACATATTATAATTAATATCCAATTAACAATAAAATTTAACTCCTATACGAATAACCACGTAATTATAATTATAAATATGGCCATGTATCATTAAGTTTTTTTAGTCTACCATTGATTTACCATCAAATTAAAGCATTTGAATGAGGCATTCTTCATATTTGGTTGTAATATTTTTGTGTATGTTTGTGATTTTGTTAATGAAATTAAAGAAGTAAAAAACTACTAAAATTAGGACACAACAGAAACTATATAATACAAGGGAATGTTGAAGTTAATTCAGATCAATATTAGCAAGGTCTTAGAACTTTATGGGTTTTTCACTTAAAAAGCATTTCAATAATTTTTTTTCCGAATCTTGCAGCTAGGCCACGAGATATCGTCACTTGGCATTCCAGTTTTCCACCAAGTGCTATGCCACGTAGACAACAAATAGGTATTATTGTAGCACATATGATGCTAAGTAAGCTAATTTTGGATAGGGTTTTTAAGATAAACACGCTGTATAGAGTTTTATTATTGATATACTTCTAATATTTCATATATACAAAATTAATCCTAACTTTAAATAAATATCCTACAACTCGGTTATATTTCCATCATTGAAAAAAGTTCTTTAAAATAAGATCCGTTTATAATATATTTAATTTATATAATAGAGAATCAGTAAAAATAATTTTAGTTCGGTAAAAAAAAATTTCAAGTTAATAATAACATAGATTTCTATTTACAAATAAAACTACAAAAAGTAAACTATTAATTATATAAGCAATGTGATATCTATGTCTAAATATTTTGCATTATCAAAAGGGTTTATATGACTGTATTTAACATTCAAACTAAAAAGTTTATCCTAAAATTTTATCAACAATCCGGGCATTGCCCGGGAATAAAACTAGTTGGTATAAAAGTTGGCTAGCGATGACGTTTAACCTTTTTTTCTTGTTAGAATAGTAAACGTATATTGTACAAATGATTATTCTTATTCTTGTAGCTTAATTTTTTTTTTTTTTTCACTTCAAATATTTATTGTAAATTTCTTGGGGACTATTAAAAGCCAAAAAAAAGTATAATAAAAATAAAAAAGGTAGAAAGGGAGAAAATTTGAGAATATAGCTTAGAGAATGCATAAGAATTAATCAAGAAAAATTACAAGATCAAGCTTTGATTACATATTTTCAAGATTACATGGTGCTCTTTTTTTCTTTCCAATATTCAATTTTATATAAATATATTTGCTCCAACTTCTTAAATATTACAACTTATTACATGCCAATTTTAACTTTTGAGACATTAAATACATAAGAATTTCTCTTTCCATTCATTTTTTGAGATCTTTGTTTGAACGCACAATATTTTTTTTTTTTGTTATTATTTGTCGATAATTTTGGGTGCATGAGCATGGAGGAGAGAATGTTTTGGCGTAAAATGAGAATTAGCAACAAAAAAATAAATTTTTTTTTAAAAAAAACCCCCTCCTTCAACAAGAAAAGAAGGGTAAAATGTCACAACTTGTTAATTTTTATACCAATTTGTCGTAGTTTGTTAACTTTTATACCAATGTGTCACGAATATGTTAACTTTTATACCAATGTGTCACGAATATGCTAACTTTTATACCAATGTAATCAATTGGCTACAGTGTAATTTTATTTGTTAAAACCGTGATCGCATGGGACTAATCTAATAGTACGATATTATATGCGTGTCATTCTTCTTTCCGTTATTGCATTATTTTTTCCCCTTTGGAGCATTTCACTACTTTTACGCTGCACCACTCTCGCTCTTTTCCATTGAACCGTACTCTGAATTCTTCATTGAAGCGCCTTCTGAGTTTTCTCTCCTCTGTTAAAGCAGCTTCTCAGGTCAGAATTTTCTTATTTTCTTAAATCATCGGACATCAATTTCATAATCTAGGGTTTAATTTCACACTGTTGTTGATTTAATTTTCAGTATCATTAATTTAGGGTTCTTCTATGGTGATTTAACGAACTATAAGTTATAATCACTCAAGTTATGAAAGATTATAACGAGCGATTTTGTTGCTTGAATGTTGCTATGTGCAATTCATGTTGGAATTCTTAAGCAAGAAGAAATTATGTGATTTTTCAAGCATAATTTGATGATTGAGATAAGACTGGTTGCAAATGTGTTGCAGGGTTTTGTTTATAACCTTTAAATGTAAGGACAGAGCTATAAAAATTGATATTTTCTTGTCAGGGCGGCGGCTGTGCAGCTGCCTCTCTTGCCCAGGCTTAGGACATGCCTTATATCGAGTATTTTTAGTTTAGGTTTCAAATATTAATTTGATGTTTCGTCTTTCGTCTCCATACATATGTGACATGTCATATTTGGCTGATTATGCCTTTGGTTTGAAGCATTATATGTGAAAATTTCGATATTTTAATTGCTAAGATCAACTTGGATACACTTACACCCTTAATCCCAGTGAGAATACATGGATACACTTACACCCTTAATGCCAGTGAGAATACTGATTATACTTACACCCCTAATCTGAAATGATTTCCAAATATTTTGATTTAATCATAGTTATGATCAATTGTTTACTACATTTAGGTCTGATTTGTGTATTTTCCGTTTCTAATATAATACCCCAATGTTTGTGTGGATGCAGTAAATATATGGGAACTGCTGTTGACACTCAGAACATGGTAAATACTTAACCTTATTTTTTATTCATGCGATGCTGCTTGATTCTAATCACTGTAAAATGCTAGTTTGGTTTGTTTTATTTATTGGTGTTTCTGACTGCAGGAAAATGGCAGGAAGGTGACTGTTATCTTTGTTTTAGGTGAACTCGCTGATTCCTAGCATGATTATTTTTTCCTTTGATTCTTAATGGGTCAATTAAATTGTTCTTTGCCAGCAATGAGCATATTTGGTTCTTTTATGCTTCTTGAATAACTTGCTGTCAGCTTTTCTCTCAAGTTTATTTCTTGTTTGTGTATCAAGCTGAAGATATACATTAATACTAAGTAACTTTCTCATATGATAGACCGATTTAGACATTGTTAGATTTGATGATTTTAAATTTGTATATTGTTAATTTGTCACTAATAAGATGGTGGATTTGATGTGTGAAATTTAAATATTTAAATGTGGAATGGAGCTCTTTGTCTCTATTTGATCTCTTTGATTCTCAATAATAATGATCATGGCTAATGTAAGTATTACCTCTAGGGTTCATGCTTGGACACTTTGACCTTATTACTTTGGGTTTATATACTCCTAGGAATTTGAAGTGAAAGTAGAAGTAAGATTCTTAGATTGACCAACATCCATGGAACTTTGGCTTTGTGTCAACTCCCTACAAAACTTTGGAAGTTGTTTACTTTCTCTGTTCTTTATTTGATCTTCCACAATAATATGTATTCAAATAAAGAGCAATGAGAATAGAGGAAGGCACCCATGTGCTGAACTTTGATTAATAGGCCATATTTTCATTTGGTTACTAAATAATTAAACACCTTCCTGGCCTCTAATTTTGCAAGAGCTAGGGGTCATGGAAGTAGTTTTATGATACAAGTATAAAAGTGGGGCAAGTGGGTCAACATTATATTTAAAAAAAAAAAAAAACTATTGTCCATGTGTGGTACACAACTTTCCACAATTAGTAAGGTCATATACTCTTTTCATTTCGTAGTTCTTGCAACACTGACTTTTACACTATTTATATATTTTGCTATGAATATATATATGATGATTTATACTTAAGGAAAATCATTTTCAACTTTTAATAGTCTATATTAATGGAGAATTATACATGGTTAAATCATGCATCGGCTAGTGCAAAAATATTAGTGTTACAAGCATTTAGAACTAGAGGAAGTATATATTAATAAAATTTAAAACATTTTATTATAAACGTACATATTGTTCATATATTTTATATTATGAACCATTGTGAATTGTACATTTTTGATAAAATAGTGATTAAACTTGAAATAGAAGATGGAGGGGGCTGTTATGAAGTAGCACAATGGGGAATAAACATGGCCAAATTTAGAACAAGATGCTAATTATGACTAGTAATTTGAAATACAAGACAAATGATTGATAGACACAAGCTTTCGAGTGGCTTGTTTCACTCCCATAGGTTAAACAAATCTAAGAGAACAACTCAATATTTAGAGTTCTTATCTCTTCCCTATGCTTCCTTATTTATAGCACTTATGATATATGTTGCTTGGAGTGGGGTACCCATGTCTGACACGGGTTCAACGTCCGACTTAGCTATTTTGTGAAAGATTCTATAATTTTAAACTAAAAGTAAAGTGTTCTAGTGTTACACCCATGTCAAAGTCAAGAGTCCGGAACGGGTACTTAATGTGAAATGAAGAGGCCGAGTAACGTAGCTTGATAGTTACTCTCCATTTCACAAAGGATTACAAATTTACTTCCGACACACAAAGTTTGCAAGAAGAGAGGAAATCTGAAAATGTTGAAAAATAGGGTATGAATTTACTATATTTGATGGTAAAGAGAGTATTGGAGAGAAAAAAATGGGCCTAATATGAGTAAAAAAAATCTATCTATTATTTGCCATGATGAGAATAAAATTAAGGGCTTATTTGGCATTGTTTTTTATTTTCAATTTTCTGATTTATTTGAAAACAAAATAAACAAAAATAAGAAACAAGAAAAAGGAGTTTTCACTTTTTTGTTGTCAGTTTTTAACTTATCATGGTTTTAATAAGTTTGACTAATTTATGATTCATTATATGTCATATATCATATGATTTCGAAAAACAAAACACAGGATACCACAGCGATACCAAACGAGCTCTAAGTTAGTAGTTTTTTGTTTAACCGGTGAATTTGAAGCAGATAACTCGATCCTACAAACAGAAAAATCCTGCAAAAGTTTAGTCAAGAACTTTGAAAACCAATTAAAGGCAGTTCTAATAAGCCATTTACAGTTTTAAACCATAAAATCAGATTGACCGACCCTGATCCAACCGACATGTCTACCCGTGGCCATGACCTTGAACCGAAAGAGATAACAAATACATCACTCTCTTTCATTGAAGTAACCAAAGAACATTTCGATGACAAAACTTTATCATTCTTGTCCTACCGAAGCACAACTATTGGCAAAATTAAGTTCTGCCACATAAATACATTATCGTATGCTCGAACTTCTTAAAATGTGTATCTAACTTACCCGATCATGAAGTTCCTTCTGCTCACATTTCCATTGTTGTTCTTTTGATGAATTAAAGATGGTGATTGCTTCCTTAGAATTCATTATTCAACGGAAAATTTGTGTTAATGAAACCGCTATTTGTTGGAATAAACATTAAATTGGATCAATTAACAATTAAAAGCATCCTACCTATGATAAAATCAAGAGACAGTGAGGTTGGGGAAATAGATCAAAGATATGGGCATGGACAGAAAGTCCTAATAGACTAATTTTGCCACGCCTCTAGGGCAGCCCCTGTATATCGTCCTCCAAAATCAATATTATTTTAATATATATACAGGAAAATAAGATAGAGTGACCAATTTCTTTGACCAAATGAAACCGGTAAGAAAGTATAGTAAAAGCAGAGAGGACAACCTAGAGCCCTTCTTTATCTGTGTTTGTGCTCCATCTTTTTATTGCAGAACTTATATAATTGAAGGCAGCTATAAAAGTTGAAAATAAATTTTTTAGCCTTTGTGTTTTTGTGTGTAAATAAGGTCAGTTTTGGAAGAACATTAAAACACCTAGCTTGGTAATAGCATGCTTTTAGGGGGTGTTTGGTTCGTTAAATAAGAATGGATTGGTATGGAATCTTATAATAGGGAGGTATGAATTCAAAATCCCATACTAGTTTAAAGTTTTTTAGTTTATTGTTGGAATGATTTCTACACTTCATTACTGGAGTGGATTGTGAATCTTAAGGAGTAAGGTTGGTATGAGATTCTAGGGAGATGTGGTAGAATTAGAAAATCCCTTTGGTATGACCGTATGAGGTTCCATAGTTAAAAAGCTTAACCAAACAATATAATAGATTGAAGGATTCTAATCCCAATTAACCCATTGCAAAACATCTACCCAAACGACCCCCTAAATGCTAAGATTTTGAATACAAAGTAGAAGGCCTGGGTAATCATCTGCAGTCTTGCCTTAGCCTAGCCTAACGCAAATCGACATTGATTGCAATTTGGTTGGACATGTCTGGTAATCCTTTCCACCTGTTGATATATTATATAAATGCCTCTATGATGAACCTACATGTAGTTTGTGCTGGTGTATTATCTATCCATGTAGACCACAACCTTTTCTAGCCTTAGCAACTTTGAATTATTATAAATGCTACTTATAACCATGCAAGGTCTAAATCTTTGGTGCTACTGCTTTGCGTGTATCAGGTGGTCCTGGCAGTGGGAAGGGTACACAGTGCGCCAATATTGTTCAGAACTTTGGATTCACTCACCTAAGTGCTGGTGATCTTCTACGAGCAGAAATTAAATCTGGCTCTGAGAATGGGTATTGTCTGTTTTCTCAGAAACTACTATATAATTGCTTTTAGCAGGCCCGTGTAATTTAAGGTTGTTTTTATCATCACTGCATGCTTATTTTTGCCATCTTGACTTAAAAAAGGCTGTCCTCTTTATATTTTGTATCTGTTGGCTGTAGGGTGATCAATCCGTAATTAGAGTAATGAATTTAGTGTTAAGTTTTTATTTTACTGCTTCTTTTGATTCCATAAAATGCAATAATAAAAGCTGGCCCCAAAGTTTCTTACATCCTGACAATCTTTCTAAATGGTTCTCTTGTGCAATTGTTGTATCTGTTGATAAGTTGATATTGCATTCTTGGTGGTAAGATTATTGAATTGCATTCAAGAGGTCTAAAGCCACTTTTTTAATGAAGAATATGAGAGGAGATCATCAAGTAAATGTCACTTGGTGCCACATTCTAAATTTTCAGCTACACTTGATCTTGTGTCCACTGCATCCTTACATTGTGTGTGTGGATAGGTCACCATGGTGGATAGTTTTTTGTTAGCTCTCTCTCTCGCTTAAATTTTTTCTATTGTAATTCTGCTGCTGGAATCTCATCTATTGACACTCTAATGGGTTGGAACCATTTTGATGATTGTTGTCTTGTGGTTTGCTGCATTTGGAAAGTATTAATATATTTAGGTATTGATTAGTGTATTGGTGGGGCTCAGGCAAGAGTTGCTTGATGGCTGGTTGCTTATGTTGGATATTGAACTCCATAAATGATGTGTATAAGTCCGCCTGTCTTGCTATACTAGATATTTTAGTAGTAGGATTTATCGGTAGTTGTCCTTGAATTATTCTTCTGATAATAACATTGGCTTTTTGGCTGTGGTTAAATATAGAACCATGATCCAGAGCATGATCAAAGAAGGAAAGATTGTGCCTTCAGAGGTTACAGTTAAGCTTCTCCAGCTAGCTATGCAGGAAAGTGGAAATGACAAGTTTCTTATTGATGGTTTCCCTCGCAATGAAGAGAACCGTGAAACTTTTGAATCTGTTGTGAGTCTTAAATTTCCATGTGTTTCATACATAGATCATCAAAATTCAGGTCAAAACTGTGCATTTTGTTTTATCAAATTTCTTATGTGGTGCAGACTGGTATAGAACCAGAGTTTGTTCTTTTCTTTGATTGTCCAGAAGAGGAGATGGAGAAGCGTCTTTTGACTAGAAATCAGGTTAATTCTTTATTTGTCTATCTCCATTTTCTTCTGGCCTATTTGGTTTGTACTACCCTTCCCCACTAATGGTATTAAGGCTTTGATTGATTGATATTTGGTTTGTACTACACCAACCTCTTACATTTATGAAGGGTAGGGAAGATGATAACCTGGAGACTATCAAGAAGCGTTTTAAGGTATATATGGAGTCTAGTCTTCCAGTTGTTGCGTACTACAGTTTGAAGGACAAAGTTAGAAAGGTCAGACGCTGTTCATGCTTTTCTAACCCATTTGGTCAGGTCCTTTTGTATGTCTTTTTTTTTTCAAACTGAATTGGAAGCTTTTATACATGTGTATTAAGATTGATGCTGCTAAACAAGCTGAGGCTGTATTTGAGGATGTCAAAGCTATATTTAATTCAACGACAGAGGAGGTAGTTTTTCTTTTAGCGATGAGATTTCTATGTTCCTTGAAGTTCTTTGTATCCTTAATCTTTGCCAATTCAGCGCCTCTAATTTTGCTATATGTTTTTGCAGCACGTTGCTTCTGAGGATTGCCTAACATTATCAAATACGAAGATGCCATAACTAGAGTACTGAGGTGATTCGCTTTCAAATTTTGCGGATCTTCTCTATTGATTTTAACCTGGTTGTGTTCTTCTTCAGAATTTGAGTGCTCATAATTCTTGTTGATGTATCTTCATTCTTTTCCAATTAAAAATTTATCCGGGCTTGGACTTCTGTCAGCTGGAAATGATTGCTATAAGATGAAATTGGCTGGTACCTGTTAAGTTTACCAAGCTGCACACTTTCACATCACAAATCACAATTGCCTGGGGTGCTTTTTTATGGGCCTATGGTATAACAGTAATACAGACTACAGTTTTTTTTTTTTTTTTTCTTTTTTTTTTGAAACTTTTGTTTTTAGTACTTTTTAATTCTTTGACGGATGTGATCAATTTTGTTGCAAAATACTCTACTTCATGTATTCACTCTTTTTCCTTTTGTTGACTTGTGGAATTTTGGCAATGTACTGCAAGCCTTTGCTCATAGAATGAACTGCATTGCATGTTGGTCTCGTGCAGCTTTCTAATATACGATGATTCTTTTGATGATCTTAATGCCTCAAGTTTTATAAGCATTGGCAATTGTATTTGAACTAAGCTGCCAAGTCTATCTAGGACAAGCTTAGAGGTGATCGTTTGCGGGCTTGAACAGGAAGCAGATTGAGCCTATACTTTTTTTTGTCCAATGGGCTAAATGTAGCAAACCCATGCCCTGTTATGCGGGCTTGACAATTTGTACAATACACACCCTTTAAACGTGCTGAGCTTGCCTGAGGGGCTAATGGGTCTAAAATTTTTGTTTTATTTTCACCAACACTAATTAATCTTCTAATTATTTATTTATGATATAATTACTTTGATTAATTTTTTTTATTACAAATGATAATATAGAAATAAAAATGTTGAAATTGTGATATATATTAGTTGATAAAATAAAAAATAAATAGTTGTAGCTAATAAAAGCTTAGAGTCTAATGTATTCGCTTTGTATTTATTTTCTAAAATATTTGCATATAATTAACTAACTAAAATAATCATTAAAATATTAATTTTTTAATAACAGGTCCATTACATATTATCCTGAGTTACTAATGCCTGCACCGGTACACCATACTGTAGGTAAATATACCCCACCCCCACCCATTTAAAGTCTTCCAAAAAAAAAAAAAAAAAAAAAAATTTATATACTTGTATATATCACCATTGTAAAAGTAAAAAAAGAAAAAAAGCTGCAGAGCATTGTTGATGCTATTAAAGGGGAGCTCAGGATGAATTGTGTCTAGATATTCCAGTTGAAGCCAACGCAAAACTGAAGATATTAGGTATAATTTCGAAGTTGTTGATGCTGTTGATAGGAGCCTAGCTCTATTAATGATAAGAATAGATGAAGTAGTAACACATTTTTAAATTGATTAATTGGTAATGTTATTATGTCAGTTTGGAATTTGGACTACCTATTGTTTGCTTCGTTTGTGGACTTGTGGTGTAAATTATGTTTGCTGATGTGGCCGCCGGCTGGGCTGGGTATTCATGTAGTTTTTCTGATTATGTTGATTTTGATAAACTTGAAAAAATTATGAAGGAAGAAGAAGCAAATTAATAGCCCGTTAATGGCCCGTTTTACTTTTACCTCGACCTTGACCCGCTAAATATTCATCATGACCCACAACCGACCCGCCCCGCTAATGACCCGCACCGACCCTCCCAATAACCACCCCTAGCTGTGACAAGTGGGAGAAGGTCAGCTCCCTCCGGGTCGGGCGGTTCTCCCGGGAGACGACTGATGCCATTGGCTGGCACGGCCGCCTCTGCATGGTCAACGTCAAAGGTGACACTGCCAAGCAGGGAGCTATCTACAGCGCAGAACAAGACTTATGGGGTGACATGAAGGAAGGTATGTTAAGCGGGTGGCGGGGCCCAGCGGCCGCAATGGACGAAGAAATGATCTACTTGGTGGATGAATCCAAGGGAGTGGTGAGGAAGTACAACGAGGAGACAGATGGGTGGGTGGATGTGGTAGAGAGTGATAGGCTACGAGGGGCGCAGCAGATGGCGGCTCGAGGTGGGCGGCTTTGCGTTGTTTGTAAAGATGGGAGTGAGATAGTTGTGGTGGATGTGATGGCATCGCCGCCGCAAATGTGGGTGGTTGAGCCACCACAAGGGTTCAATGTTGCTGCGGTTCATGTTTTGCCAAGAATGAGTAGGACCTAATCAAGTTTGAACTTTCTTTGACGTCCTACACCATACAAAAAATAGTGCTAGTTATATATCAAAAAAATCTTAAGATGTCTTCTATTTATTTTATTTTTTGGCTGTAAGAAAATCTTGGATTTTTAATGAAAGTATGAGAATGGAAAGAAATACTGTGTGAAAGATTTGATGACAAAGTCAAATGAAAACTTTTTTAGTTCATGTAAAAATTGTCCACAGATTTAAGTATTGTCGTATTGTCAATCAAATTGTCAAAGAAAAATGGGATTAGCAGCTTTACATTTTGCTACCTCGGCTGATTTTTTTTGGTAGGGAAAAGTAGTAAATCAATTCAACAAATAATAAAAACAAAAGAAACATTTTTAAGGTCAAGTTTATACTTTTCAAACTAAAGATTTTGTATATTTTTAGGAGTTATACAATGTTTCATTCATAAGAAAATTAATGGTTATTTTGAGGAGGAAACAAAATTTAAAACGGACTCGTTCACACTTCACATCCAAAGACAGTGAACCTTCAGTGGTAGAGTGATATGGAGTAATTTAAAGAAAAATAAGGATTCTATTCATATACATTTGTGTAAGAACATATAAATAAAGAGGAAATTAGATAGGAAAAATTAACATGAATGGACAAACCTTTGCCCAATTCTCCAAAAATGGACTGACCTTTAAATCTTCCCATTTTGGACAAAAGTTTGCATTTTTTCTCCCAAAATGGACTGAATTTACCTGCAACCGGTTATTCAAGTCAACATTAATAAAAAAAAAAAAAAATTAAAAAAAAAACTCCGGCAGCCCAACCCACCACTACAGGCCAATCCTCCACTCCCACTTCCACTCCGGCCACCGCAGCACAGACCACCTCCCCCACGGATGCTTTTCTTTCTCTCTCCTTTTTCCCCCAGCCACCCAGCCACCCACCCACACCTTCTTCCCGACAGCCCAGCCCCACCCAACCGGACCAACCCCTCCACCCCGAAATCCCACCCTGAAACCTCACCCACCCCAAAACCCGTGGCCCTTTCTTTGAATCGAACGCCACCAGCACCCCAGCCCCACCCCACTGGATCGACCCCCACCTCCATTGCTAAACCTGCGTAATCTCCATCAGCAGTGAGCCCCATCTCCCTCACAACAGCCCCAACGTTCACCATCTCTTGCCAACAACAATTTACAGCCGCATAATCTCACAAGCAGCAACCATGAATTCTCACCGTCTGCGGCCAACCGTTGCTACTATCACCGCCACCTCTAAACCTTTAGAAGCAGCACCAATTTGTCACGCGAAACGCACCCATTCAATTCACCACCAATTCACTACAACCAACCTTGACGCCGATTTCAAGGGAGGGAAAGGGGAGGCCAGGGTGGCCGGATTTAAGGGAGGAAGGGAAAAAATGAGAAAGAGAAAGAGATCGGCTGTCGGCGACCCTACCCTCGAACCCTTGGTCGGAATTAATGGAGGGAGGAAGGAAAGGGAAAGGGAAAAGGGATCAGGAGGAAAGGAAAAAAAAAAAAACTTGACCAATGATAAAATGACAAGTGGCTTTTTACCTGATAACAGGTTGGGTGACCTATTTGGTCCATTTTGGGAGAATCGGGCAAAGGTTTGTCCACTCATGTTAATTTTTCCAATTAGATATTGTGTACAAGTATCACACAAGTATTTTTCGAAATTAACTTGTACAGTACTATAACAAGGGGGCCTGGTTTGGTTGGATTTGGTTTTTTTATTTTTATTTTTTTCTAACTTTGCCCGAGTCAACTCAGTATGGGTCAGTAAGAATAACCCCCCTTAAGAGCTCGTTATTGAAATTTGATCACATAACCTCTTAATTGTGAGATACAAACATTTTCCACTAGAAAATCCTTATTTGTTATTAGAACATGGTTAGTGAGCAACCAAAACCAATGTAATTACACAAGAGCAACACTCTATGTATCAAAGATAACAAATGTCCAAATGATAGTGATGTACTTGCATAGCATTATGTTGACAACTTTATGGTAGAATAGTTTAATTTGCGTTGTTCTTCAGCCAAACCATGTAATCATGTCCAATTAATGTCGGTCAATCAAGGTTACAAAAGATCTAAACATCCATAATAAGAAGTGGCCTTTGGTTAGATGCAAAAAGATGCACAGTAAACAATTTATTGTTTAGCTAATTTTGCCAACATCATATTTTTAACGATAAATAAAAGGAGCTTAATAATTGACTACTCGGTTTATCCAAAATTACAAGATAGCTTACATCTGGAGGGCTTTCCATCATCCATATCGGCATAACCTCTGATGACTTGATACTTTCCCCTATTCTAGAGATTTAAATCATTGCAGAAGAGTAATGTAAACCAAGTCTACTTTTATTTCATTAATGCAAACCATCCATGACAAAACAGATCATACAACGATGACAATTCCATATTACCTAATATACTACTTATGATGCAACCCCAAAGCTACATCATCATATAACACAACCAAATGTCGAGCTTAGCAGTCAGTCATTACATACCACATACCAGAGCATAGTAACTGTCTATCATAAACATCAGCAGCTAAATAATAGGCATTCGATAAAGGTGGCTAAAAAGCTAAATAGAAACGTTGGACGTGAAATGTGTGACTGAAGGCAGCTTCAATTATCAGAACAGTATGATATCTCACCAGAAGACGAACTGTCCTGCAAACGCTTTAGCTCGTCATAAGCCCATTCAAGGCCAGGGCAATAGTGTAATGGTGGGTTAAATCGGCTGTCATTAATATCAGGTGGCAAGAAGGCCCCATTCTCAACCAGAAATCTGACTGCATCCCTATTCCTTTCTTTAGCTGCTAAGTGGAGCGGTGTCCCTGTAATATCAGACTTCAAGTTAAGTAAAGATTAAAGATAAATAGCTCCCAGCTAGGAATTTAAAAGAAATGAAAGCGGATACATTAAGCTTGGTTAAAGGCCATAAAGCATAATACATAACTCCGTATTACTTACAACGACAAGGACCCTTGGTTCTGGCTTCAATATTAGCACCCTGCTCAAGCAGCACATCCATGACTTTGAGATGGCCTCCTTCAGCAGCAAGGTGAAGAGGCGTGACACCTTGCATTTTGGCGCCCCAAGCAGCCACATTTGCATCCATTCCCTCATTAAGCATTCGTTTAACCTGAATGTAGGCCCACAGTTTAAAACTTCAATATCAAGTTTGAAGCCCATCAGGAAAATGCAATTCAACTATGCAGAGGTACTATACCGCAATGAAGAAACAGTTCTCTTCTACTAGAAAACAAAAGCAGCATAAAACACTGCATAATAAACAGGATACATTCCAATGAAAAAACAGATATGAAACAGAATTTAGTTAGAAATTACGACTCTAGAAAAGATGGTTGACATTCAAATATGGCAGCTTCACATAGTCAAAGAAAGGTTCATGAACCTACCGTCAGACCAATAATATGTACAATACCAACTCTAAGTCTGCGAATAAGCACCACCAAGCGGCACACAAGCTAAAGTCTGTAGGTTACATCAACATGTGACTCATGAGTAACACAAATTCTAAGTCTGAGGGTAGCAAACTAGCACCAAGCAGAAACCATCTCATCATATATATATAAATTTCATACCTCGAATATTCTTAGGCACCTTAGAAATAGATTCCTAACTCATCAAACCTCATGGGTTCTTAATTAGTACTACTTTCCAAAAGAACTCCAAGGTCTGACCCATTGCCCAACTATATAAGCAAATATCATCCGTAATTATAAATCAACTCCAATTCTACCACAGAATATCTTAAAAGCAAGCACTTATTTCCTAAAGCCTGAACAGTGAAGCCAGAAGAGCTCTTGATCTCAAAGAATAACCCAATCCTGAACTCAAAAGAAAGACAAAATTGAAATTGGTACCCCTTTCATACCAGTTCAAAAGATACTAAACTCAAGGCTAGATAATAATGAGTCAGAGGATGAACTCAAAGAACATCAAGTAGCATATCACAGCAATCACATCAAGCTGGAGTACCTTGAGCAGCATTTCAGGCCTGAACATATTGGACATGGAACTATTCATATGGACTACTTTCACATAGTAGTTTATCCCATTGCTTATAGGAATTACACTGTATAATCCTAGGGGCTAGGGCCATCAGGATCTAAATATTGCTCAGGCTGATACTTTCCCGCTTACAAAATCAAAAAGAAGTTCAATTTAGCAACAATTATAAGGTAAGTTTAGCAAATATCGACTTAGTAAGGAACTTAAGTTCAGTAAAAAAAAAAAAAAAAAAAAAAAAAAAAAAAAAAAACCATTTAAAAACAGTCAAAATGCCCACTTGCCCATTCCTTTTCCTCTTTTGTTTTTTTTTTTTTTATTAATGGCAGATGGTAGAGTATTGAGATGGGAGTAAAATCTCCATCAATGCTGCTTACTATCCTATAAACTCTCTTATGTTATACACACCCTACACTTCAACGAAACCAAATTTTTACAACCACGTGCATAGGTTAGAATAAGATCTAGCCTGCTGTGTGTAGACTTACAGATAACCCAAAGTATAATGATGCCAAGGAAAACAACTCGACAAGATTAGAAATATGGATACCACAGGGAAACAAAAACCTTAATTTTCTATTAATACCTTAATCAGAGAAATGCCTTAAAAAAAGGAAGATAAACCCTAATCTTACTTTGTTCCTAAGAACAAAAGCCAAAAGACCAGAGCTCTATTTCTAAATCTAAAAAGCTTTGTCCACACTACGTCAGCATCTCAAAGTGCACTCTTTCCCAACCTCAGAATTTTTTTTCATCCATTCCTCTGTCTTTCATTCATTATTCAGCTTTAACCAGATCCTTCTTTCATGTCAAAACTACTTCCCTCCCCCCCCCCTCTCTTCTTTGGTCAGCTATTCTATAGTTGCACCTTTTCTTGTCCCTGAAATAGGTAAAAAGTTTATACTATACAATCAGTCTATCAGTCACTTCAGACTACATCTGGGACTATGATACTTCTACTCCACACAACTATTCCATTAAAAGTAAATAAAAAATCACAGAAGAAAGGAAATGTAGTACTAAAAATAGCTAACATAGATGATGAATCAATGTCCAGAAAAATAAAGGATAGTCCAAAATTCTATCAACTATAATTCACTGATTGATACGTTGCTTGTAAGGCCAACAGAGGCAATCTATCTGTTCCATTTTTTTGACAGGACTAAGAAGAGTCTACATAATTTATGGTCTAGAGGAAAAAAAGAGTGGAAACATGAAGCCTTCTTCAAGCAATAGTGTTCAACTGTTCAAGGGAGGGACACAGCCCCCTCTATCCAGCACGTCACCCTCTCTATCACATTCATACAAACCCACAATTACAATTCGATCTACTTCTGATACCTCCTCAATCACTCTATCAACTAGAAAACTTTAGACTTGTCAGTTGCTTTTGGGACTAAGACTTTGTTGTTGTTGTTGTTTTGAAAAACAGGGAGCTGTAAGGGGGATAAGCTGCCAACATAGGGGCTTAAGTTGGTCACGGCCTCACAAGCCAGAAGTTACAGGAAACATGTTCGAATGCCCATTAAAATTGTGGCAGATTTAGATATAATTTATGACCTTCAGAATCTTTTACTGTCAATCATTCAGATTTCAAATGAAAGCACAGAATAGTATGCACATTAAATGATATGCGGGTAATAGGATGGCAACGAGCCAACAATGACAACAAGTAATTGTATGGACGAAAGGGGTGATCTTTCCGTAGTAAAGAACCCTTCAAGATATCACACCTGAAAGGCTCCAGTTGGTTAGCAGATAATAATAAGGCAATGGCCTTCGACAAAACTAACACCCATTTTAACCAAGAAAATCTAAGCATGGAATGGAATGAAGACAATCAACTCCCAAACTTCATAGAACACTATCCTAAAGAAACAGGACGCACATATACGCATCACTACTACAATTTTCAACAAGCAAGAAAAAAAAAGTGATAAAATTATATAATCAAGACAGACAAAATATACCTCCTTAAGGTCGCCCTTCCGAGCAGCAATGTGAAGCGGAGTCCAACCTCTATCATCGGTATCGAAACTCGACCTATGCGACCGCTTCCTCAACAATCTTCGCCGGAAAATCCCCAACTGCTCAGCTTGAGGAGTAATTAGCATAATTACTATTTCCCTCAACAGCACAAAACCCCTTTCCACCGAAATCAATCACCAACTTATGAAACTCTAAACAACCCTTGTCTCCTAAAACTCAGAAACCCCCTTTCAAAGATTGAAAAATCGATAAACCCAGATGGAAATATTCACTATTTTACATGATTTTTCAGAAAAAAATACTACCCAAATCAAAATCAAACTTCTTTCAGAATACTTAAAGTAGAAAGAGGGAGAAAAAACGCAACGAAATTGAAATTAGCGAGAGAGAGCTAAGTAATTAGCCATGTTGTAAGGAGCAAAAGGATTCAAACCAGGACCAAGAACACGAAGATTGTTAACAAGGATGATTGAAGAAGCCGTAACCCAAGGTAGCTGATTAAACAAGGAGATTATGAACATTATAATTTGTGCAAAACCCTAATTTGAAAATTCGATGAACTGGGGAACTAGGATAAAGAAATTGTTAGGGTTTCAAACGAAAATCAAACAAAACCTCGATTGATAATCGACAACATGTGTAATGATTGTTTGAAAGAGGGGAGGAATTGATTAGGGTTCACAGCTATAATCGGAGGAGAAGAATTGTTTGAATGATAGAAGATTTGTTGAGGTTCTGGGACGAGGAAAGAATTTTGTATTTCTAGAATTCTACCCCTTTTGTTACTCTTGTGTGGATAATTGGTTTTAGGTTATTATGATGACGATATTTGGAAAGGAGTTTAAACTGATAGATTTTCGAAGAGATTTTGTAATTCTAGAATTCTCTTTTTTATGACTCTTTCGATGGTATTTGGCTTTAGGATATATTGACGGCGATATTTGAATACGGGTTGAAATCGATAAATTTTGTAATTTATAATACTTGTGTATAAATTATTAGAATAATATATTATTGGATTAGTCTAGATATATACTCAGTATGAATTATGTTTTTAATATTAATTTTTAATTCAAAGTACAATTTTTATTAAATATATAGTAGTAATTCTATATTTGATGGGCAAACTTGTATAACAAGTGTGCTATTCAAAGTGAATTTATTATCAAGTTATAGTACTAATCTTATTTAAACTGATTTTTTCCTATTCCGTATAATATTTATTTATTAGAAACATCAGTTTTTTTTTTCCTTCTCGTTTTTGTTTTTGTTTTTGTTTTTGTTAAAAAAAAAAAAAAAAAAAAAAAAAAAAAAAAAAAAAAAAAAACTATGCTTAAATTAATTAGAGGATAAACAATCCATAAGTACATATGAAGCAATTTCATGGGGACAATAGTTTTTCCATATTTGCTCAAAACCATACGGAATAAATTTAGCTAGAGCGTGCGCCACACAATTGCCATCACGTTTTACCTGAGACCAAAGAACAGACTTGAAACTGGAACCAAGAGAAGGATATCCCCTAGCACTTTATCAAGTGGATTGCTAAACATCGCCTACAAATTACCAACTAAAGCCTACAAATTTCCATTGAATTGACAATATTGCCCTTGACCAAAAAAAAGAAACACTCTCTCATCACCAAAAAAAAAATCTCACCCACTTTCATTCTACGTTTTTTTTAAAAAAAAAAATTCAAAGTCCGGCAATGTCGAGGCGGCAAGGCAAGGAATTAGCGGCGGCGGCGGCGGCTGAGGAAAGGAGGTCTCACGGTGGAAAGGTAGGTTTTTTTCCATTAAAAAAAAATAAAAAATAAAAAACCGTCGTGGGAAGGCGGGGCGCATGGGGAGGACGCCACGGCGGTGGTGGTGGCGCCAGAATCAAACGCCGGAACCACGGCCATGGCGTCTGGATATGGCTCCGCCACCACCGGTGTGGCGTCCTAGCCAGGCGCCGCCACCACCGGTCTGGCGTCCCAGCCATGCGCCCCTGTTTTATTTATTTATTTTTTTTTTTTAAATCAGTTTTTTTTTTATTGTTTTTATTTTTTTTTGAAAATCAGAATTTATTTTTTGAAAATCGGAATTTTTTTTGTTTTTTGTTTTTTTAAGTAATTTTTTTTGGTTTTTTGTTTTTTTATGGTTTTTTTTTTGAAAATCAGTTTTTTTTTTATTTTGTTTATTTTTTTTGAAAATCATAAGTTTTTTATATTTTTGTTTTTTGTTTTTTGTTTTTTTCAATAATTTTTTTTTGAAATTAAAATTTTGTTTGTGTTTTATGTTTTTTTCAATTTTGTTGTATTTTTTTTACGTTTATACTTCCTTTACATTTCTTTGTATGTTTGTTTTGTACAATTTTTTTTTTATATTTGTTATTGCAATTTGTTAGTATGTTTTTCTGTTTAGTTGATATATTTTCGTTTAGGTTATTTTTCTTTTATTTTTCTTTTATGTTTATATAAATTTTGTTTTATATTTGTTATTGCAATTTGTTAGTATGTTTTTCTGTTTAGTTGATATATTTTCGTTTAGGTTAATTTTTTTATTTTTCTTTTATGTTTATATAAATTTTGTATGTGTTGGTTTTTTTTTTCTTTATTTGTGTGTATTTTATTCTGTAATTTATTTTAAGTGTTATGTTAATTTCTTTTTCAGGTTAGTTTGCTAGTATTTTTTTAGTTCATTTGATTTGGTTTTTGGTAGTTATTTTTCTTATAATTTTTTTAATGTGTATACATTTTTTAATTTTTTGAAGGTGTCGCATTTTCGTCATGGTGCGGGGAAGAATCTAGACCTTATTAGAAGTGGAAACTACTCGATGGAGAGCTTGGGGCACCCAGACATCTTAGATCCCGTGGTATTTCGGCCTCGGCTCGTAGAGAACGGGTTCACCATTGGGATGAGGATGAAGATGATGATGAGGAGGAGGAGGAGGAGGAGGACGCATATGAGGATGTGGACGATGGGAGTGGACCATATGATGATTACGGTCCATTCAGTCATAGGCTAGATGACATGTACGAGACGCATAGGGTAGATGTGCGTAAGGGTAGGGATGGTAGGTTTGTGAGTAGATCTGGCACATCATCTGCGTCCACCGTGTCTGGGGCAAGCAGAAAACGGTTGAGCGCCGTTAATGATTTTTGGGTGGTTAAGGGTGCGGTGCCTGGGGGACCTGTAGACGGGAGTGTGATTCCTAGCTTTCTAGGACACATAGCTACCCATATATGGGAGGACCAGGAGAGGGGTATGGTGACGGGCATTTTGAAATGCCAAACCCGGGAAAAGACTTGTAGCATTTTGAGCAGATGGGCTGAGGCTTGGCCAGTAGAGAGCGAGATGTTCGACCGACTACAGGGCACTGGGGTGAATCACCTTCCTGCCACCATGCACGATAAGATTGATTGGACGCTGATCACGGCTTTCGTTGAGCGATGGCAGCCGGATACGAACTCTTTCCACCTTCCATTCGGTGAGATGACGATCATGTTTCATGACGTCGAGACCATTCTTGGGATTCGCGCAGAGGGTAAACGCCTTTCTGTTGTGACTGATGCGGATCAGACAGATTTGTTGGCGGAGCTGTTGGCGGTGGACAGGGTTGCGCTGTACACCGGGGCGCTTGGTGTTTGGGACCATGGCGGTGTGAAGATCGCATCCGTCTTGCAGCGTTGTTTGCACCCCGGTGCACGTAGGACGCACGATGCACAGCTGGCTGCTTATGTTTTTCTTCTCCTCGGGTGTACCTTGTTTCTGGATAAGAGCGGAAACAAGCTCAGGCCACGCGACATAGTTGATGCGTGTGAGCCCGACAGTGTTGGTCAGTTTTCTTGGGGGTCGGCTAAGTTGGCGTATCTGTATCGCCAACTAGGATTTTTGAGTCCGGCTGACGCGGCAGGTATCACTGGATGTCTGACTTGATTGCAGACCTGGATATATGAGTATTTTCCTGTATTTCGACCATACCGTGACCTGGTTCCTATTGGTGATGGGATGCCCCGTGCCTGTGCGTGGAGTCCGCGGTTGGAGAAGAAGTCCGTTGACCGCCTCCGATCGATACGGTTATCACTTGACAGGATGTCCCCCTTAGAGGTAAAGTGTATAAATTATTTCTAAATTTGTACTGTAATGCATTTATTATATGAATCTTACTAATTTGAAAAATTTTGTTCAGGTGAACTGGATGCCTTTCGGCCAGAACCCTAGTAATAGGGTACCCAGGACCCTCTACACGGGATACAGTATCGTGAGATCGTGGAGGCGTACATGCCCCAGCACTGTCTTCGCCAGCTTGGATTCGTCCAAGTCGTCCCTCCTCCACCGGCATGGCCGAGTAAGGCGGTCTGATCTGCATCGTCGAAGGAGTACGTCGTCCAATGGCCGTATAGCATGATTGCCACGTGGGAGCTGTTCCCGATGGTTGCCCGCTTATGGACTGCGGAGCTGCAGAGGCCGCCTACTGGGGTGCCTCCCATGTGTGACCAGCACTACATGGAATGGTACAACCGGTATTCGCACCCGAGGTTGATTAGAGACCTCAATCATGGCGACAACGCCGATGATCATGATATGCCACCACCAACTACCGTAGATGCGGTATGCATGAACAAAAATTTATTGTTGCGTTTTTTTAAATTTTATATATCGTTATTCAATTTCATGTTTTTTTTTTTTGTGTAGTGGATGGGAAAGACAATTCAAGGCGTACAAAAACTCTCCTTGGAGAAGGACAGCATGAGTGCAGCAGGGAGAGTTGCTGTTGATGAGTTGGAACAGACCCTTGCGCATTGGGAGTCGGCGGCAAAGAGGGATTACTGATTTTTTTTTTTGGCATTTTGTTTGTTGAACATTTTTTACATTATCATATTAGTTTGTGAAATAGGACATTATATTTGTAGTTTGCAGAGTTTAATACAATAGTTTTAGTTTTTAACATTTAAAATTATCGTTTTAGTTTTTAACATTTAAAATTATCGTTTTAGTACAGTACGAGGATAATAAGCAATGCAAAAATAAGGTTACATAGAAATAGTGTACCAATGAAAAACTAAAAAGCTGCTAGGGTGTTCCATTGATGGATCCGGTCATGATACAGCGCATCCCAACCCTCTATGCTTGCTGTGCGAATGTCGTACCACCGAGGTATGATCGGTGGGACAGGAAAATCGGATGACAGGTCCAGTCGGATGAAATGTTTGTATGACGACCCAAGAAATGTAATAGCTAACTCTCTGACCGGTGTAGTGACGGTCTCACGCGAAGACCAAGGGAGAACCGTTGTACAAGGATAATAAGCTCGACTATGCAATCCCAGCCCGAAATGCATTACTGCGCACTTGTAAATGTTTGCAACGGCAAAGAGATCTAGTGGCGCGTCGAAATAGTAATTTAGACCGCAAGGTCCTCCTCCCCATCGGATACGCCGCAGAGCACTATCCAAGCCGTCCTGGTACACATGACGATAAACATCTCGGTTAGAGGCAATTTTACTGTACATCAACTGACGCACTAAACCGTACTTGTGTTCGCCCAACTGAAACACATCAGCCACGACCTGGAATCCGCAGTTACCATCTCCAACTACATCATTCCAGTCGTCCAAGTATGACATGATGATGTTAGGTATCCTATCCTTGTATGGAAGCTGGTCAATATCAAATCTTCTTGTTGAACATATCATTAAACACAGTGAACAAGTCAGCAGTAAACTCAAAACCATTATAAAACGTAAATTAAAGTAAGTTATTGTACCAGTGCCGGGCATATTCACAGACGAAGAAGACTGGCTACGATTGGATGACGATGTACGACCACGACCACTACCACGACCACAAATGTACTCAAACGCACTCCTGTTCCGCCGTTGGCAACCTCTAGGTCACTCGACCCCTTCAGATTCCTCGTGATC